TTTCAAAGATGATTAAATGAATAAATAATTAATTATATGCAACAGTTTAGTAATTCCTTAGTTAAGTTTACAAAATGCATTACCTTTAACATTTTTCTTAGAAACATAAATAATCATTGTTAGAATTCTTGTTTTATAGCTTCAATCTTATTTAAAATGGAGTATAGTGGCTTATTTTTAAAAATTTTAACACACCTTTGGTCAAGAAAATTATCAGTTTCAATTTTACCACTTTTTATAAGAAGATTATTTAAAATGATGCACATTTATACAATGAAGAATAATGTACTAAATAGTTATCAAGGCGCACAAAACAGTTAATTCAGCTATAGAGACACTGGGAAAGTCTAGCTAAAGGAATTTTAGTGGGCTAAATTCCACAAAAAATGAATAAATGAATCATATTAGGGAGCAAACTAAAAATTACCAGAACTGTACTGTCTTCTTTTAGATCAAACAATACTTTATGATATTTCAAGTTACTTCATTTTTAAACCATGACTAATTATGATGCCAATAGTTCCAAAACCAACAATGACCTCACTTTTAAAACATTCTTGTCAGGATAACATTTTCTTTCTAAAACATTACACTCATTCCTTTTAGCCAACCCTAATATTGAGTTCCCAAAAGTATAATCAGCTACATTTTTTTCTATCAAATAGGCCAATTGTTATAACATTTTTGGAGGAGGTGGAATGTTATAAATAAAAATAACTACTCTAAAGGGCAGTCTAAAAAAATGCACATTTGTCAGGAAAATAACTATATTTGGTCATGTGTCATATTACTAGGGAAGATATATATAGTTTTATATGTGACCATTTTGGTTAAAGACTGAAAGTTCTATCAGAGATCAGTAACCTAGATCACTATTAAAACAAAATCTCCTATATGGTGCTGAAGTGGTCAGTTAAAGAAGTTTATCAGGTAAGATCAGTCCTGGGCTGAGTTAACCTAGCATTCTTTGGATTCACAGAAGGTCGTTAGAATGCTGGTATTAGGAGAACATAATCTGGTGAAATGTTGTAAAAGGATTTATCTTATCTTTTGACCAATTTTAATGACATAATAAGCAAATGACATACAAATTTTGTGGAAAATGTTCATAAACAAAATCAGTGCTTAGATTCAGGAATAAGCCCAGTGGAATGACAAAACAATAGAAGAATGAATGCTTCAAGATAAAATACATGTATTCCTGTCTGTATCAAAAAGAACATAATACACAATAACATTATTCTCAAAAATTCCTCTAGGTTTCAAAGAGAAATATAGGCCAAATATAGGTTCTAACATCACACAGATGATCCTCTCCTATAAAATTATAAACACAGTTATAAATGAAAACAGATGTGGCTATGTTTTATAATCCTACGTCAAGTCTCTAAACTGAAATGCTTCAGCATGAGTTTAAAAAAGGGCTTAGAAAAAGCACTGGTCTGGGAACAGTAAAAATAATAACAATAATGGTAATAATGCTACATTTATTAAAGCTTACTTTATTCCAAGTATTTCATGAATTCTTATTGAATCTCATAATGATTCTACGGAGTTAGATATTATTTTATTATCATTGTTACACGCATTGCCACTTACCATTTTACAGAGTGAAAAACAAAAACTCAAACAGCAAATTAATGTCTTGGGTTACACAAGTAATAAATGACAGAATAAAAAATTAAGTATTCACTGCCAAACAGTGAAGTTTCAAACTGTTTTAGATGTCTATTCATTGTTTTTATATTCATCAAAGGTGTTTGAAATGCTAGAAATGTCTCTAAGGAGCTGTCAAAAAAGTAATGGTTGTGTCTAAGCATCTTAATCTTTCATGAGAGAAAACTGAGGCCCAGGGAAAAATGTAACTTGCCTAAAGTATCATTTAGTTGGATAACAGACATTACTAGTAACATCATTTTTTTTAAAATTGGGAGTTCAATTGCTTGAAAAATTTTCAAACTACTAAACTAGATGGTTATCTCTGAGGTCTCTTTCTGTTCTAAAATCTATTTGAATCTGGAAATAGAACTATCTACTCATCAAAAAGAAATAATTTCATTACTTTATGGTTGAATTAAAGTAACTTCTAACAAATCCTTAAAATAATCTTACTGTAGGAAAGTTTATTAAATGGTCTTAGATCTAAAATTAGAAAATTAAAGGTCCCTTGCTCCCCCTTATTTTTTTTCAAGGTCTCACATATTTATTACTGCACCAGCTTATTAGTGAACAGCACATAAACAAAGAGAAAACTCATTTTCCCAATGAAGTGTGGCAACTGTCCAAATGATGACATTTTCAGCCTAATATGGTAAGATGATAGTGACTGGAACACAGCATAAGTACAGGCCATCTCATGTGCAATTCCTTATAGACCCAGCTTGTTCTTCTCCAGTGCCCCCTCTTTGAGTTGTACCTGATCTTATTACTGGTTTTCATTCTAATCCACTGGGGAATGGGATGATTTAATTTTTGTTTCCTGGCCAAAAACCGCTTGATTCTGAGTCTTATGGGAGGACATGGAGACAAATGAGACTATTCACACTCACCACAATGGAGTCCCTTGCTCCCCTTTAAATAACACTTATGGGGCAGACACATCTTCTATGACTGTTTTTCACACTATGATTGGGACCCATCCCTACATCATGAAATCAACTTAATGATTCATAAACAGCATTTTTAAAACCTGAAAGCAAGGGAATTAAAAAAATGCTTGAGAATCAATTGTAAATATTAAGTGTCAAGTATTACTTCCTAGCATCTAGCTGCCTATGTAACTGTGCACTCAGTTATGATGTACAATGTATTTCTTAGTATGAATCACAATCAAAACAGATTGAAAGCCACTATGCGAGAGTGCCAAAGCATATTTCACAATTAATATATCTGACATGAAAAGAGTAATTAAATTACTAACTGACATTTCTAGGATCTATACCTAAAATATTCTGCTTTTTATAATTACGGTAAAATTATTGACATGCTGAAAAGCCAACTCCATTAGACATGCAAAGAAATTCTAGGAATGCAGCTTGATCAACAGTGTTCCAAAGAACATAAACATAAAATTATCAGTGAAGAAACAAACATAAGGTTTAAGTAAAGTATGTGAAAGAAATCAGGGCTCCTTGAAGAAACAGTGATTTCAAGTTTGGGCTGAAAAATACACAGAGGAGGAACATCTAACTGTGTCAGAAAGCAAAAAAACTACCAAACATTAGGTTGTGTCAAAAAGATGTAGAAATCAGCTTGACGGTTTCCCAGTGATCAAAGATGAGCAATTTTGGCATCAAAGAGAATATAACTATAATAGACTAAAACAGAAATACGTAAAAACTCGAGTTTAAGTTAAATAACACGATCACCTCCATGATTGTTGGGATATCAACTTGTTTTAAAACTTGGTAAATATGAGAATCAAGCACTTTTCTTCCCCTTCCTCTACCAATTTCATTGTAGCTATATCCACAGAAAATGTTCTTATTTGCATTATTCCTCTTTAGAAGAAAAATGCAGCACAGATTTAGAAATTAACAAAATTATAACCAATAATGAAACAACAAATGATCAGCAATGGCTGCTAAAACTATTAGATGAAAGATTAATAGGGAATTTTATAGTGTATGGAGCAAGCTCATAATACCTAAAGCAAATGATCAATTTTAACATTACTAAAAGTGGGACAAAGTCTCCTCATGAAGACAGTAGGAAGCACATATAACAGTATGAATCACTATTGTCCTATTTTTTGTTCTTTTTTTCCCTTTTTAAAAAAATTTTTTCAGAATATTACAGGGCTACAAATGTTTTGTTTACATGAATTGCTTTTGTACAGCTTGAGTTAAGTTGTAAGGGTGCCCCTTCCCTGGATAGTGTGCACTGTACCCACTAGGTGTGAATCTACCCTTAAGAATCTGAATCGAATCAGTCCTCTAGCTCTAAATACCAGCTTATAGATAATACTAAGGACAGAAAAACTGTTCAAGAAGATCACAAAGATGCAATCAGCTAAATTCAAAATACGGGAAATTCTACAAGACTGGTTTCTTCAGTAAATAACAGCAAGGAAAAAAAGTGGGCAGGCAACTGTAACAGATGAAAAGAAACTTAAAAGACTCACTTTTAGTGTAGAAATGTAAAACTGTAAATCTTGTTTTATCTACAAGAGGAGTTTTTTAGAACTGGAGTAATTTGAACATAGACTGGATACTGATGATATTAAGAACTCCTTATTTTGTTAGGTGTGATGTGCTAATTTGGTTTTGTTACGAAAAGATTAAATATTTTTTAAAATCCTTGAGAATAAGGTATGACATACATGGAGAAACTCTGCAGTTAGTAGACTAATAATGTAGCAAATACTTTGATGTATATGTAGACCTTTTTCAAGAAAAATATTTCCTCTTTCTGTGGAGTTACAGGTTAAACATTCCCAACCAAACATCTAAAATCTGAAATGCTCCATAATTTTAGATTTTTGAGTGACAACTTGATAGTGTAAGTGGAAAATTCCATATCTGACTTCATGTGACAGAATGCAGTCAAAATAGTCAAAACCTAATTTCATACATAAATTTTTAAAAATATTATATGAAATTACCGTAATACTACACATACAAGGTGTACAAAACATGAATGAATTTCATGTTTAGACTTGGGTCCCTCCCATTAACATATTTCATTATGTATATGTGAATATTCCAAAATTTAAAAACAAATCCAAAATACGGTACACTTCTGGTCCCAGGTATTTTGGGTAAGGGATACTCCTCCTGTATTGGAATTCCTAATCACAAAAAACATTCTCTCAATCGATTTCTATCTTTAAAGTAAGGTATTAAGGATACTTCAACTGGATAAATGGCAGACAACAAAGTTTTGTTTCTGCTTCAAGATATTTTTCCATTTAAAATGTAAGCATATGCTCCACGTACAAAACTTCAAAATACCACAAATGTATAATTATGTCATCATAAATACTATATTGGAAAACTTACAAAATAGCAGAACTGAAGGGCAAGCATGTTTCATGATCCTCTTCTTGAAGCACTGAATTTATTTTCTTTCCTGTGGCTTTACTTATAGATGTTTTAAGTTTCTTAGCTAGTTTTCTTGGTGTATTGGTTATGGAAGATTCTTCTGTACTGCAACTATACACTTCCACCTTTATCTGAAAGTCTGGTCCTGCATCATTACTAAAAACCAGGGCATTTATAAGGTTAGAAATTTAACTCAGCAGCAAATAGAATTATAACACCATTTGATGTTTTCATAACATTTGAAATCAGCATGTGATATCAACAAAACTCAAATTAAGACCATTATGAGATATTGCCCCATGTCCGTGAGGGTGGCTATTATCAAAAGACAGGAGACAAAAGCTGGCAAGGGTGTGGAGAAAAGTACATTGTTCATGGAAATGGAGATTTGTACAGCCATTATGAAAAACAATACAGAGGTTAGAGGTTCCTGAAGAAATTAAAAATAGAACTACCACATGACCTAGCAATCCCTAGTCTGGAGTTATACCCAAGGGAGATGAAACCATCACCTTGTAAAGTTATCTGCACTCCCATGTTCACTGCAGCATTATTTACAATAGCCAAGATGTGAAAATAAGTGTCTGTGGATAAACAAATGGGTAGAGAAAGTAATAAACACAAGGGAATATTCTTCAGCCTTAAAAAAGGAGATTTTGCCATTTGCTACAACATGCATGGAGATGAAGGATACTATGCTAAGTGAAACAAGCTATATACAGAAAGAAAAATAATATGTGATCTCACTTAAATGTGACATTAACAGCAACAAAAAGCTCAAATACACAGAGGATAGAGAGTGAAATGGTGGTTACCATGAACAGGAGAGGCATGGGAGGAAATGGGGAGATGTCAGCCAAAGGATGCAAAAAATAATAAACATGCAGGATAAAAACCTTTAGTGATATGACATGAACATGAAGACTAAAGCTAATAAAACTGTATTAAATTAAGAATTTTTGTTAAATAAATTTTAGCTATTGTCACAAAAATAGTTAACTGTGTGAGATATTTGTTGATATGTTTCAGCATAACAACTAGCAACCATTTTATTATCTACATGTGTCCAATAACATTATGTTGTAAACCTCAAAGACACATAATAAAATTTATTTAAAAAATAAACAAATAAAAGGCTGCAATGAGCTAAGACTGCAAAATCTCAGTAAGCGCAAAGTTTATGGGAAAAAAATAAAATCAGCATTTGAAATAAACTTATGTTAACATATGCTAATGAGAAAGAATCTTCTCTGTTTATGTAACATCTAAAGGATTAAGAGTCAGTGCAACTTTCAGAGCTCTCAGCCTCATAACTAGGGCAATCTTAACTTAATCAGTTCCTATAGGCATATTATTAAGAATAAAATGTCCTAGTCATTTTGTTGCCAATACTATTTTTCCTTGTCATTCCTTTAATACCACTACTTTTAAAATATTTATATGTGTAATTTCCTAAAATGACTATTCCTCCGAAACAAAATCTGCTGAACCTTTAGTTTTCATTTATTCATCAATAGAGTCAATTATTCTATTTACCACTGTGCCTCCAACCCCACCCCTCTTTTGTACCTAATAACTATAAGCAACATTTCAGAATATTGTTAAATAGGAGGAAAAATAAAACAGAAAACCAATGTAAAGGGATATACTTCAAAGAATGAACTCCTTGAGGGCAGGTGCTATCTTGGTGATCATTGTATTCTTACCCTAGCATTGTATCAAGAATATAGAAGGTACTCAATATAAATTTATTAAACCAATATGCATAAATTCTGCAATTCTAGCAAATGCTACGACTGACTTTACCTTTTTCATAGACAGTGAACTACCTTTAGCATAAAAGACTGTGTGGTGTTACTAACAATAAACATACTGAAGACTGCAAAAGAGGTCCGTCAGCAGCAGATGTTGCCTGCAGATGGAAGATCCACCAGCCTCAGAGATTTTAAAAACGCAGCAGACTTTTTAAGATATAAATGGCCAATCTATAGTTTGGTTAAATCCAAAGAATAACTTCTAGATATTTTTATAGCTTATTATTTGGCAACTTCTAAACATACAGTATTCCCAGTAATGACTAACAAATGTCTCAATATTTAGAGGAAAACCAAAAATTCATAAATATTGAATACTTATTAAAAACAATCATCATAACAAGAAGCACATTTTTAAACATTTAGAACATTTGTCGACAGTTATTTTTAGATTAATTTAAAAGATTAATAGAATTTTTAGAAAATTATAAATCATGTGCTGTCTTCCCAAGTAATTTGTGTTGTTCTTTCCCTGGTGGTGGCGGGGAACCTCTGATTTTTGTCTTTGTAGTAAAAACAAACAAAGGCAAAATGATGTGAAGAGCTCAATAACAGGGTAATTCCGGCAGGAAAAAAAATTCACTAATAATAGTTGATAATGGAAATAAACGTATTCAGATAACTGATGAAAATATATTTGTTAGCCTCAATTATATAAGCATTTGGGGGTATCTTCTGGATCCTAAATAAATTTCTTTGGTTCAATATAGCTTGTAGGAAGGCCTGTTGTTATAACTTATAACTCGCAATAATTTTTCCATGATATACTATTACTATGGGACAGTGGACCAGATATGAAGTCACAAAATATGGTTTGCTGTAGTGTTTTTAATGTTATACATGAGTGGCAAAACTAGTTCTCTGAAATTTTAATTGCCTAAGTTCCATAATGATAAAAAAACACATATTCTGATTTTATCTTGTCTATTAGCTATTAACATTTAGATATGAATACAGTATCATTAAAAGACTGAAAGGAACAGGCCCAAAGAACCTTTGAAAGAGGCCAGGAAAAACTTGTTAGTTAAAAATGATTTCTATGGCTACCTGAGGAGTTCACTCTGGTTGTGTATTATTGCCACAATAAAATGAGCCTATAAAAGACCAAGGGCAATAAAAACAGCCCTGAAGATCACCTCTTTTTTTTTTTTTTTTTATTGTTTTGGAGTACATGAAAGAAACCTATCATAAGAAAAAAAACCAAATTTTACCAAAGCGCTTTTCCTATGGTATATATTTTAGTTCTATCTTATAAAGTTGTTGTACTGCTTTAGTATTTCTGTAACTACATCACCTATATGGGATGGAAGAACCTATTTTATGCCAAAATTCATGCTATATCAAATAACATTCAAGAAAATTCAATTGTATTTCATAACTTAGGAGATAATGGAAAACAATAATGGAATTATACATATTTATATCAAATTTAAAAATTTATCACATCTACTGAGTCAAATGTTTACTGCTAACACTAATAAGATTTCCATTTTATTTTATATCAGAAAATTACAAATGTAGATATCATATTCTTTTGAACAAAGTAATCTTCAAAATCATTTTACCAACAATCATAATGCTTCAGAAAAAATCCAAAAACCTAATAGTTGTAACTTTCTTTTTAACTAAAGAATTTTACATTACTCTCATTCTCCAAAGAATAAAATAATATTAATACTTACAATATGGTTACATTTTCAAAACATATATCTGTGATTGTTTTATCCACAATCACCATGTCAGTATCAAAAACTTCAGCTCCCATTTTGAATAAACAAAAAATGGCATAGCGCTGAGATCCTAGAGAAGAAAACATTTTGAGCAACAATCCATAAGTCATGACAACATTAAGTCTACTTGACAATGAAAAATATCAGCTTTAATATCTGTTAATAGATTTATTTTCATACATTGTATATCATAATCCTAAACATTTTACAGTGATTTAGATGCCATTATATAGGAATAACTTATCCAACTAGAACACAAAAAAAACAGGAAAGTATCAAAAATAAAGTTAAATACATAAGTCTCTTTGCAGCATAAAGAAACCACCAATTGCATATATTTTTATGAATAAAGCATACACACACACAATTATTACCTCTAAGTCATTTTGGCTTCCCTGTCCATTTAAGAAAAAGATTTTTTATTAGAAGAGGTTAAAAGCAGGCACATTAACAGCAAAAAATTTTCCACCAAACTAACAACAAGAGAAGAACCTCCCCCATACACACACACACACAACCAAAAAACAAAAAAATTCCAATAAAAATTAGACATGGGAACACAGAAAACAAAGCTGCTGGGCCTTTTAATTTGGTGCTGTTTTAAAAGTATTATAAAGTATTATTAGGTGATTAAAGGCCTAAATCCTCTTTCTGAAGAGAAAATGTATCTCTTAAGAAAAACTTTCTTTAATAATCAGAAAGATTTCCTTAATTCCCACAGGTATTCCTTTGTAAAGTAAATTATACTTTATAATTGAATAACAAACACTAATGTGATTTTGAATTCTTCATATAAATCTAATTATGCTCAATATGATTCAGACTTTAAAATATGAAGTAACAAGCTAGCACAATAGACAAGAAAGATAAGAGAATTGCCATCTTTCCTACTTTGCCTCTAACAGCTAGAAATCACTGGAGGTTAATTTCATGATCTAAGCAATACATGGATTTGTGAAGACTATACAAAGCCATAAAATGCTGAAGGAAAAAAAAATCAGGTCAAGCTAAAAGTCTTTCCTTATTACACCTCATTCTCTAAAGTAACAAAATAAGGCAGAAAAGGTATTCTAGATTCTGGTCAAACAGGAGAAATGCTGTCTTAACCTTTATTCCTTAAACATTTTCTTTTGTTCCATACTTCCCCTTCAGCCCACTCTGAACCTAACTTACTGTCCTTCACAGGTACCTATCAACAACTACAAGTATACTAGATGTGCATAATCTCAATTAGCATCAAGCAGCTGCTACCTAGTTATATCAAAAATCAGAAAATAGTTCAGCAAGATTCTGCTTGTTTTGCCAAATGACATCAATTTATTTCAGTGTAGAAGCAATCTTTTTTCCCCAATATTCACACTAAAGAAAATATTTCAATTACAAATTAAAATCATACACACGTTCTTTATTGCTGAAGTGATCAGAGTCTTTCCACATTAGTGGTATTCGAATATCTATAAAGAAGGGAAAAAGAAATGACGAGTAAAAATTTTGCTAAGTTTTACTTCTTACATTGACATGAACCTCTGACTTCCATAATTGATTGTGACTATTAAAGCCAAAATAAAGTGTTATTATTTAGCAGCACATTTTCTAGATATTGTTCAGATTTTCCTATAGTATCTACTATTAAAGTAACTTAATCTATATACAATTTTGGAGTATGTGCAGTGAAAATGTATTCTTATAAAAATAATTGTTCTAGCTCCATGTATATATCCTTCTCTTCCCAATTTATGATGCCATCTTTATCACATATGCCACTCTGAGTAAATGTCCGTTCCTCAGCTATACATACGTTTTGTGGATGTACTTGAATTGCTTATCAACTACTACTGTCTATATACTATTATAACTATTATACCTTTATTATATACTTTGCTGTTAGAAATATTTGCTTTGGAAAATATCTGATTCTCATTTGCTAATTTCTTCATATGGATTTTAGAAATATTTTGTCAAAATTCCCCCCCAAAATATTTTTAGCATTCTACTATCCAAATTAATTTGGGAACTGTAACTCTTTAATATTCTGTCTTAATACAGAATAGCATGATACATTTTTATTAAGGTTATTCTTGAGTATTTAATATTTTTATTTTTTATTGGCTTTATTGTAAAGGTGATCATTTTTGCCATTACATTTTCTAACTAGCTATAGCTGATTTTAAGAAAAACTACCACTTTTCTATATTTATCTTGAATCCGGCCACTTTTACTGAATTCTTTACTAATTCAAATAGTGTTTTAGTAAATTCTCTTACATTTTATAAGTTTGAAATCTATTATCTTCAAATGGTATTCAATTCCTTTTCAACAGTTTCATCTTTTATTATTTTTGCAAGAATTTCTAAAACAGTATAAAATTATGTTGACATATTGAACACTGTTTATTTTGTTCTAAATTTTAATGGGAATACTTTACTATTTTATAGCTATGACTTGGCTAATGTCCTGTCAAAAATCCCACTTCTTCTTGCTTGACCACAGATGCTGACTCATTTCATTTCACAATTGTTCTTGTTCACAGCTGCTCTTGTTCTGTTATGGTGGCATTAACAATTTATACTATCATGGGAGGAACATGGACCCTACTTCCTTTGCTGTATACCCCAATCAATGGGTCAGCCTGGCCTTTTCCCATGCCTAAAAAGTAGAGGGTAGATGTCATCTCCTGAAGAGAAGGTAGGTATCTTGTATACATTTCCCAGATGGTCATGTACTGCTCAGATGGCAAAGAATTTGTAACTATTAAGCTATGTTTCTTAATTCAGCTTCAAATAATAAAAAGTTCTTACAGATTTTTGTAAATGGTTGACTCATTTTTAGTTTATAGTACTTTGCCTTTATCTATTTTTAATGCCTTCACTGACATTTTAATTGTAAATTGAGAGAGCCATGATAAGATGACTAACTTGATGCTGTGAGGTCTAAGAATCTATCATTTTCGAAAGGGAAAACTGAGGCACTTGGGGACTTAATTTGGTTTAGTCACTGAATAAGCACATACAATTACCATAGTAATTATGATAAATATTACAATTACATATGGTAAATATTTGGTGTTCTGCAGAAATAATCAGAATAAATCTCAGTTATTCTTTTTACTTTAATAAAGATCTTGCCAATGAGTGGTGAAGCTGAAAATGATAAACCCAGGTATTTTTGGCCATAGATGTAATCTCAGAAACGGTTATGAAACTTTTTTGCAGATATTCATTTTGGTCAAAACAAGTCACATTTTCATCTCTATGTCAAAAGAAAATGGATTTATAAAGATGAATTTGTTTTTTATTTTGTTTTTACAAGTATGCAGACAAAAAAATCATTAAGTCTATAAAAAGATTAAAAGAAATTACATTAAGTATCCCATTTTCTGAGAGTTTTAGTTCCTTAATTTAAAGTTATCTGAAAGAAGGAACACACGCAGAAGCAAGACCAATTTTGACACTTTAGTAACTGTGGGCAAGAAACATTTTTTCTTTTACTTTAAATGCTTTTACTTACGGTCCCTTCTACATGTACTGTTAATTCTAATTTAATGAATTACTGCAGTCAATAAATTCTTATGAAATGACAATACATAATAAATGTTGATTCTATCATAGCATTTGAGTCTTTAATACCAATACAACACATCTCATTTGTATACTGAGTGGCATTGTATTAAAAGAAAGAAATGAAGGATTATGTTTAGTTATTTTTAGAAACTCTCCTTTTAGTATCTACAATATTTTGTTCAGGTTAAAATGTAGTAGACATAATGAACAACTATATAAAAGTATTATGTTTGGAAGCAAAAGAATACAAGGAAGTATAAAACATGATTTATATGTTGTTATGAGTGTTACATGAGTTACGTGAGTAAATGAGTGTTATAATATAAAAACATAAATGACTATCAAACAAGCAATAGATCTGTATATAATCTGGTTATCTTTCTGAAGAAGTTTTTGCGTAGGTGAATACCACTCTGATTTTGGCCAGTTCTTATGTCCTTTGTAAAATTCAGGTCTATCCTTCCTAAGTAATCATTTTCGTTTACTCATAAAGACATTACTGAAAACAATTCATTGAGTGAAAGGGCCTGAAATACAGCAGCAAGGTCCCCAGCACAAGGCTTTTGGTCAATGAAATACCCAATTATTACCTAAAAACTGATGGTTGTACATACTGTTGTTTCCAAAATGTACTGATAAGACAGTATTTGTAAAAGTGCATTACTGGGAGGCCCCTGTGGCTCAGTGTAAAAGTGAGTGTAAAAGTGCATTATCTAAGAAATGTACACACAAGTCAGTCAGGTATTCACTTCTATCTGTGGCATCTCCAAGCCATTGTCTTTAGGTTCCTTAACATTTTGGAGAAACTGAGACTACACAGCATAAGCGCCATCTAGTGGTTAAGGGTCTCCTCACTACATTAGGAATTCAGAGAAAGGAAACAGTTTTACTTGGAATGGTAATAGGTTAAGATTTTATAGATGAGCAAACAGATCTAGAAGAAAATGTAGTTATTTTACAAGCTAATTTGGTGTCAAAAGCATGGGGTGTGTTGGCAGGCCACAGAAAGAACTGTCTGCCTAATGCAGACAGCTTATGCATAAGGAATATGAAAGACACGGCTAGAAAAAGAATTGGATCAGGAAGGAAAACTGGAAACAAAAGTTTGGTCTTTATCCTGGAGGTAATGGAGAGCAATCGTCTATTCAATAAATAATCTCTGAACACTTACTATGTGCCAGGCACTGTGCTAGCTTCTGGGTATAAAGTGATGAACAAAATAAACATGGTTCCAACCCTTATGGAACTTTTGGCCTAGGCAAACATGAAAAACATTATTAAAGCTTCTGAGTAGAAAAGGGACAGAGTAAAGAGCCTTAGGTTGTAGCCCAGTTCAGCCACTTATAGCGAGTCACTTAACTTCTGACACTGCAGAAAATAAGAACAATTATCCTACCATTTCTACAAGGCTGCACTATAGAAAAAACTGCGGCTCGGCGCCTGTGGCTCAATCGGCTAAGGCGCCAGCCACATACACCTAAGGTGG